ACAAACTCTGCTGAGAAGCAGCCTGCCTCTCCTCTGATCTCCAAAGATAGGATAAGCATATTCTACCTGATAACCAGAGATCTTAGAAGCTGTTTTTCTCTCATCTTAACAGGGAAAAAGTAAACACTTCCACACCCTAATCCTACCTGCTTCCCCCTCCCTGATTTCTCCCCCAAACATTCCCCCTTCCACACCCTAAAGCCCTCATATATAAAGTCCCAGCTCATAACCCATGGGCAGACATCTTTCCCTTTGTGGACATCTTTCCCTGACATCTCTCCCTTCCCTGAGGGAAAGGTGCCCCATGCAAAATAAATCTGTATCCCGCTGAGAATTCCATCTGTGCCTCGGCGCCTCATCCATCCGCTCATGCTCTCCATCCGTGCCGCTCCCTCCTGCCCACTCTCCACCTATCAGTTAGTAGGGTGCTTGCCCAGCTTACACAAGGCCTGAGCTTAATGGCCAGCACTGAAAAAGAAAAGCGGAAAAAAATGTGTGCGTGTGTGTGTGTGTGTGTGTGTGTGAGAGAGAGAGTGAGAGGTACCCATCACCCAGCTTTGACCTTTTTTTTTCTGACAAAAGTTTGCTATATATCCCACACTAACCTGAAACTCACAGTCATCCTCCTGCTTCAGCCTCCTGAGTGTTAGGATTATAGGTGGACACCTCAATCAATGCCCAACCAGCTTTGACTCAATGATATTTTTCCATACTTGAATGTAAAAGGGGTTTAGATTGTACATAAACTAAACCAGAATTTTATTTTTTATCTTATTTATGTTATGGTAATGATTATAATCATTATAATAAATAATAAAATCTCTTTTCTCTATTATATTTAATTTTTAATTAAAAAATTTTTTTATTATTTTTATTATGTGTATAATGCATGTATTGCCTGCATGTAGGTAAGTGCACCTGTGTCGTGCAAATATTGATGCTTGAAAAGCATTGAAGTTTTTCCTTTTATTTTCCTCTTTAAGAATGTATATAGTATTTTATGTGTATAAGTGTTTTGCCTGCATGTATGTAAGTAAACAGAGGCCAGAAGAGGGCATCAGATTCCCTGAAACTGCAGTTATGGATGGTTTTAGCAACCACGTGGGTGCTGAAAATCAAATCCGGGTCCTCTGGATAAACAGTATGTATTCTTAACCACTGAGACATCTCTCCAGCCCTAAATTTAAAATTTTTATTTATGTGTATTTGTGTGTCTGTGTGTTTGTATGCCACATGTATGTGGGTGCCCAAAAAAGCCAGAAGAGGGCATCAGATTCTCTGGAGCTGGGATTACAGGTGGTTGTGAGCCACTGGACATGGTTGCTGAGAACCAAACTTATGTCATGTAGAAGAACAGTAAGGGCCCTCAACTGGTGAGCCATCTCTTCAGCCTCCTTATTTATTTTTTTATTACATTTATTTATTTGTTTATTTATTTATTTATGTTCGTATATGCCACATGACACATGTGTAGAGATCAGAGGACAACTAACAGGAATTGTTTCTCTTACTTCCATTATGTGTGGCTTGAACTCAGGTCGTCAAGTTTGGTGGCAAGTGCCTTTACCCGCTGGGCCATCTCAGCAGCCCTCAAAAACTCTTGAAAGTGTTCCAGCTCTTTTAGAATTTATTTAGTGGATTTTCTGACATAAGTCAGAGAATGTCTAAAAAAAATTCTTGAAAGTAATCAGTGAAATATTGTTTTTGAAGGTAACTTTTTTGTTCCTTCTGGCACTGGAGTTATAGACAATATTCTCTGGGTAGAGTTAAATTTATTTTCAACTTTCCTTTTTAAATTTTTTTAACAGTGAAATTCATGTACTATAACATTGTTTTTATTACATTTATTTATTGTGTGTATGTGTGCATGTGCGTGTGCATGTGTGTGCGTGTGTGCGTGCATGCATGATCGTGTGTGTGTGTGTGTGTGTGTGTGTGTGTGTACGTACATGCTGTGGGAGTTGACTCTATTCTTCCACCATGTGGGTGCTGGAGATAGAATTCAGGCTTAAGGTCAAGTGCCTTTACCTGCTAAGCCATTTTACCAACCCAAACTTTTATTTTCAAATTTATTAGCATTAATTATTAGCCACATTTTTTTAAAAGAGGAGCTAAGAATAAATATCAAAATGACACTTCTAGGGGCTGGAGAGATGGCCCAATGCTTAAGAGTTCTTTGTATACAATCATGTGTACCAGAGTTTGGATCACAGCGCTCACGTAACATGCTGGGCATCCCACAGATGCCTGTAGCCCCAGCTACAAGAGGAAGCAGAAATAGGCAGATTACTGGGGATTGCTGGCTTCCAGCCTAGCAGAGAAAATGAAAATCCCAGGTTTAAGGAGAGAGCCTGCCTCAAAGAATGGGTGGAACATGACAGATGAAGACATCTGATGCCCTCTTGTGGCCTCCATTCCCACATGGGCACAAGTACCTCTGCACACATATGTGCACTTACACTCACACACAGAGATATATGTACACACACATTAACTAAATAAACAAATAGCCACATCAAATGGTAGAACGTAAGAGCAGTTAAATATATATCTCTATCAAACAGAACTGAAGCTAACAGCATATGATCTCATAGCTGCATGAGTCATGCTTCCTAATTGTTCATATCTTTAAGAATCAGATAAAGAATGCACATGGTGTTTTCATTGTGCTGAGTCACTGGGTGGAAGGAGAAAGAAAATCCACCTCCTGAATAATTGCCTATTTTTCTTCTAGGCAATTCATTCTTTAAGAATTCATGGGGATGAATCCACCAAGCATGAGTTATCTGTCCTGTCCAAACAATTCTCACCCACTGCTTGTTCAGTATGTTTTGATGTCAGACAATGAGGTGGTAAGCTGATAATGTGATTATGTAAAAAAGCTTTCTAGTTGCTATGTAGGTATAAGGAAAAACAACTTTAAAAATCAGATAATATTCAGAATCATAGTGGATATTTATTGACTAATTTTTTCCTCAATATTAAATATTTGCTAGGTATTTGTATGAACTGAAAAGAAAACTTAAATATTTTGGTTCAACTAGAATAGTTTTTCTCTCTCTTTTCAAAGAATCACAAAAATAAAGAGCTGTTTTGTTTTGTTGGTAATACTGGTGTGGTTTTGAGAAAGCTAACTTATTTTATGACAAGTTTGACAATACAATCATTTAATATTTACTTTATTATATATGTATATATATATATAATTTGGTCTTTTTGAGACAGGGTCTCCCTGTAGCCCTAGCTGGCCTGGATTCGCTATGGAGACCAGGCTGGCCTCGAACTCACAGAGATCCGCCTGCCTCTGCCTCCTGAGTGCTGGGATTAAAGGCATGTGCCACCATGCCCGGCTCTTTATTATATTTTAAGTAAAGCCTAAGAGTCACTGAAAGAACTATTATCTTACTATTGTAAGATAATAACCTCTATAATTTTATTATTTATGAAATAAAATGTTCTTGATAACATACAAAGCTATATCTACACTTCATTTTCTTCATTTGAAAAATTATCTTCAAAATTTAGAACAACAGGGCACTGGAGAAGTGGCTCAGCGTTGAGAGAACATAATGTTCTTTCAGAAACCCAAGATCAGTTCCCAGTACCCATGTCAGGTGCATCACAACTGTCTGTCACTTCAGCTCCAGCAGATTCACACCCTGCAGGCACCTGCACTCTCATATGTATGGGGCATATATACATA